CTATAATGCCAGCATTCCATCTCCCAAAGGCTACCCTCATTTTCTGTGTCCCTATCCCTTCTATAATGCCAGCATTCCATCTCCCAAAGGCTACCCTCATTTTCTGTGTCCCTATCCCTTCTATAATGCCAGCATTCCATCTCCCAAAGGCTACCCTCATTTTCTGTGTCCCTATCCCTTCTATAATGCCAGCATTCCATCTCCCAAAGGCTACCCTCATTTTCTGTGTCCCTATCCCTTCTATAATGCCAGCATTCCATCTCCCAAAGGCTACCCTCATTTTCTGTGTCCCTATCCCTTCTATAATGCCAGCATTCCATCTCCCAAAGCCTACCCTCATTTTCTGTGTCCCTATCCCTTCTATAATGCCAGCATTCCATCTCCCAAAGGCTACCCTAATTTTCTGTGTCCATATCCCTTCTATAATGCCAGCATTCCATCTCCCAAAGCCTACGTAGATGAGGATAAAGCCACACTAGAATATCGGGAGTAGTTGCTTGGGTACATCACTACACCACTGATTACATTGTATCAGCAATGCTGACTAGATCATGGCAGATAGAAATACACTGGGTATATTTAAACCCATTCAAAATAGTGCATGGCCTTGTTGTCAAGCATATTGTGATTAGAATATGGCACCAATAGAAAATTTTATGTTTTTCCATTGAATGCAATACACATTTCACTCATATGGTAAAAATATATATATACATGTATTGATATTTTTCATGTCATTGAAAACATTACTATACTGACATACACTTGTGATGGTGTTCAAAGGGAGACTGATATATATCTATATATCTTGTAACACTCGAGGGGAAACATAATTAATATCACGCCTTGTCATAAAAATCTGATCTGTTGGAAAGACAACAAGAGTACCGCGGGGCGGAAAAATATACACCCGTCGAATGTCATATAGTGTTATATACTTTCTTACATTGAAATAAGATCTGCATCATTCTAAGAGTGTTTATAGCTGACATGCTATAAACAAGAGGTCGATTGGACCTGTATTGCTCAACTGGTTTTATATTTAAGTTATTACAACTGAATGCATTAGTATAACTTTATATGAAATTTCCTCAAATCCAGACAAGATCGATGTTCTAACCCAACTGGGACCACAATATCTGACTTTCAACTAATCAGGGGCCTCCATTGAGTTGCCATGTTAACAGATTTTGAAATAAGTAATATGTCATATTACAGGGTGTAATTAGACAATACTTTAATTTTCATTCAACTATAAGCTTTTATAAACCTAGAAACCAATTTTTAACAATTTATGAAAACTACACCATAGAATATGATAATCTAGCTGTACCATTTCTTAGGACCGCAGGGGTCAAATCAACCTCATTCAATTAAGAAAGGTTTGCAAGTAATAAGGGGATATTAGCGTCTTTAAGCAAAATTTAAGATAATTTTCCCCCTTGGTGAGGTTGGTTCGACCCCTGGGACTAGAAAGACCGGGCGGTCTTTCTAGCCCCAGGGGTCGAACCAACCTCACTTATTTAGAAAATGATTGCCCTTTACATTGTCACCTCTCAGCAGGTCAGACTAAACAATAACATTGTAACCTCTCAGCAGGTCAGACTAGACAATAGCATTAGCGCCTCTCAGCAGGTCAGACTAGACAATAGCATTAGCGCCTCTCAGCAGGTCAGACTAAACCATTACATTGTCTCCTCTCAGCAGGTCAGACTAAACCATTACATTGTCTCCTCTCAGCAGGTCAGACTAAACCATTACATTGCCACCTCTCAGCAGGTCAGACTAAACGATAACATTGGCACCTCTCAGCAGGTCAGACTAAACAATAACAGTGTCACCTCTCAGCAGGTCAGACTAGACAATAGCATTAGCGCCTCTCAGCAGGTCAGACTAGACAATAGCATTAGCGCCTCTCAGCAGGTCAGACTAGACAATAGCATTAGCGCCTCTCAGCAGGTCAGACTAAACCATTACATTGCCACCTCTCAGCAGGTCAGACTAAACGATAACATTGGCACCTCTCAGCAGGTCAGACTAAACAATAACAGTGTCACCTCTCAGCAGGTCAGACTAGACAATAGCATTAGCACCTCTCAGCAGGTCAGACTAGACAATAGCATTAGCACCTCTCAGCAGGTCAGACTAAACCATTACATTGCCACCTCTCAGCAGGTCAGACTAAACGATAACATTGTCCCCTCTCAGCAGGTCAGACTAAACAATTACATTGTCACCTCTCAGCAGGTCAGACTAACCGATAACATTGTCACCTCTCAGCAGGTCAGACTAAATCATTACATTGTCCCCTCTCAGCAGGTCAGACTAAATCATTACATTGTCACCTCTCAGCAGGTCAGACTAACCCATTAATTGTCACCTCTCAGCAGGTCAGACTAAATGATAACATTGTCACCTCTCAGCAGGTCAGACTAAATCATTACATTGTCCCCTCTCAGCAGGTCAGACTAAATCATTACATTGTCACCTCTCAGCAGGTCAGACTAACCCATTAATTGTCACCTCTCAGCAGGTCAGACTAAATGATAACATTGTCACCTCTCAGCAGGTCAGACTAAATCATTACATTGTCACCTCTCAGCAGGTCAGACTAGACAATAACATTATCACCTCTCAGCAGGTCAGACTAAACCATTACATTGCCACCTCTCAGCAGGGCAGACTAAACGATAACATTGTCACCTCTCAGCAGGTCAGACTAAACGTAAACCATTACATTGTCACCTCTCAGCAGGTCAGTCACCTCTCAGCAGGTCAGACTAGACAATAACAGTAGCACCTCTCAGCAGGTCAGACTAAACCATTACATTGTCACCCCTCAGCAGGTCAGACTAAACCATTAATTGTCACCTCTCAGCAGGTCAGACTAAATGATAACATTGTCACCTTTCAGCAGGTCAGACTAAACGATAACATTGTCCCCTCTCAGCAGGTCAGACTAAACAATAACATTGTCACCTCTCAGCAGGTCAGACTAGACAATAACAGTAGCACCTCTCAGCAGGTCAGACTAAACCATTACATTGCCACCTCTCAGCAGGTCAGACTAAACGATAACATTGTGTCAGACTAAACAATAACATTGTTACCTCTCAGCAGGTCAGACTAAACCATTACATTGTCTCCTCTCAGCAGGTCAGACTAAACCATTACATTGCCACCTCTCAGCAGGGCAGACTAAACGATAACATTGTCACCTCTCAGCAGGTCAGACTAAATCATTACATTGTCCCCTCTCAGCAGGTCAGACTAAACCATTAATTGTCACCTCTCAGCAGGTCAGACTAAATGATAACATTGTCACCTTTCAGCAGGTCAGACTAAACGATAACATTGTCCCCTCTCAGCAGGTCAGACTAAACAATAACATTGTCACCTCTGAGCAGGTCAGACTAAACAATAACATTGTCATCTCTCAGCAGGTCAGACTAAATCATTACATTGTCACCTCTCAGCAGGTCAGACTAAACCATTACATTGTCACCTCTCAGCAGGTCAGACTAAACCATTAATTGTCACCTCTCAGCAGGTCAGACTAAATGATAACATTGTCACCTCTCAGCAGGTCAGACTAAACGATAACATTGTCACCTCTCAGCAGGTCAGACTAGACAATAGCATTAGCACCTCTCAGCAGGTCAGACTAAACAATAACATTGTCACCTCTCAGCAGCTCAGACTAAACGATAACATTGTCACCTCTCAGCATGTCAGACTAAACCATTACATTAAATTGTCAATTTTCAGCAGGTCAGACTAAACAATACTAGACAATAGCATTAGCACCTCTCAGCAGGTCAGACTAAACAATAACATTGTAACCTCTCAGCAGGTCAGACTAAACGATAACATTGTCACCTCTCCGCAGGTCAGACTAAACGATAACATTGTCACCTCTCAGCAGGTCAGACTAAACCATTACATTAAATTGTCAATTTTCAGCAGGTCAGACTAAACAATAATATTGTCACCTCTCAGCAGGTCAGACTAAACCATTACATTGTCACCGCTCAGCAGGTCAGACTAAACCATTACATTGTCAGCTCTCAGCAGGTCAGACTAAACAATAACATTGTCTCCTCTCAGCAGGTCAGACTAAACGATAACATTATCACCTCTCAGCAGGTCAGACTAAATCATTACATTGTCTCCTCTCAGCAGGTCAGACTAAATCATTACATTGTCCCCTCTCAGCAGGTCAGACTAAATCATTACATTGTCTCCTCTCAGCAGGTCAGACTAAATCATTACATTGTCACCTCTCAGCAGGTCAGACGAAACCATTACATTGTCACCTCTCAGCAGGTCACACTAAACGATAACATTGTCACCTCTCAGCAGGTCAGACTAAACGATAACATTGTCACCTCTCAGCAGGTCAGACTAAACTATAACATTCTCACCTCTCAGCAGGTCAGACTAAACGATAACATTGTCACCTCTCAGCAGGTCAGACTAAATCATTACATTGTCACCTCTCAGCAGGTCAGACTAAACCATTACATTGTCACCTCTCAGCAGGTCAGACTAAACGATAACATTGTCACATCTGAGCAGGTCAGACTAAACAATAACATTGTCACCTCTGAGCAGGTCAGACTAAACCATAACATTTTCACCTCTCAGCATGTCAGACTTAACCATAACATTGTCACCTCTCAGCAGGTCAGTCTAAACCATTATATTGTCACCTCTGAGCAGGTCAGACTAAACCATTACATTGTCACCTCTCAGCAGGTCAGACTAAACCATTACATTGTCACCTCTCAGCAGGTCAGTCTAAACCATTACATTGTCACCTCTCAGCAGGTCAGACTAAACCATTACATTGTCACCTCTCAGCAGGTCAGACTAGACGATAACATTGTCACATCTGAGCAGGTCAGACTAAACAATAACAATGTCACCTCTGAGCAGGTCAGACTAAACCATAACATTTTCACCTCTCAGCATGTCAGACTTAACCATAACATTCTCACCTCTGAGCATCTGGAAACTTGAGGCATAAGTCAAAGTGAGGCCAATGTACATAAGTGATGTTCCACACATGTCACAGATGGCTGCTGGAGCAAAGACAAGAGGATTGACCCATCGACTTCCATACTCCCGGTCACCCTGGCGACGCTTTACCAAAAGTACCACAAAATAGGCTACCAGACAGGTCATCTCACCAAGGAACATACCAACAGCCTGTGGAATAGGAAAGGTTATCATTAAAATAATTGGGTCTGGTAATGTTACTCATTTACAATATGAAGCAAGGGTAAAAATTTCCCAATGGAAGATACAGATCCAAGAACAAATGTAGTAGCACTTTTTTTCTACATTTCTTTGCTATTTCAAAATACCGAAAAAATGTACACCGGAGTTGTAAAGTGTTGCAATTCTTTCCCGTCTAAATGAAATGTTTCTGTGTGTAATAATGCAGTTTAAGTATGGAAGTTTGGGATATAGCAAGTTTCTGCTTCTCCTTGACATGGCCAGTAGACCTGGTCTTTAGAAACAGTAAACTTGCTATATCCCTGAAGCCCATACTAAAGTGTATCACATGATATTTTAATGTTTGCTCTGTATTCAGACCTGGCAAACATATACTTACCATTACTAACTAATCATATAGACATATATACATCATATTTTTGCTACATATAAAGGTGTGTTTTGAATTAATCGAGGCAAAGTTAACAGAATTACTAATTTCATATAGTCAATCTTACAGGAACTGTTTGCTCTAATATTAAGTGTGTAATGAAATTTACCTGAAAAAATGGATGATCGAAAGAATGTTCATTTTGGTCTGGATTTCCAACTGCCTTTTGTTTATCAGCCCATCTGTAACAACAAAAGAGAAAAGTATATTCATTTGCACCTTAATTAATCTATCACCCAACTAAAGGTACACCAAACACCACACCTGGACAGACAACTCAACACATGTGATGTGATAGGTACAGACAACTCAACAAGTGTGATGTGAAAGGTCCAGACAACTCAACAAGTGTGGTGTGATTGGTACAGACAACTCAACAACTGTCATGTGATAGCTACAGACAACTCAACAAGTGTCATGTGATAGCTACAGACAACTCAACAAGTGTGATGTTATAGGTACAAACAACACAACAAGTGTCATGTGATAGTTACAGACAACTCAACAAGTGGGATGTGATAGGTACAGACAAGTCAACAAGTGTCATGTGATAGGTATAAACAACTCAACAAGTGTGACGTGATAGGTATAGACAACTCAACAAGTGGGATGTGATAGGTACAGACAACTCAACAAGTGTCATGTGATAGGTACAAACAACTCAACAAGTGTGACGTGATAGGTACAGACAACTCAACAAGTGTGATGTGAAAGGTACAGACAACTCAACAAGTGTCATGTGATAGGTACAGACAACTCAACACGTGTCATGTGATAGGTACAGACAACTCAACACGTGTAATGTGATACATTGTAGGTACAGACAACTCAACAAGTGTGATGTGATAGGTACAGACAACTCAACAAGTGTCATGTGATAGGTACAATCAACTCATTTCATTTTCATCAAAATTACACTATATGGAATGAACTGCAAATAAATACACCACAAACAAAATTACAACATATGGAATGAACTGCAAATAAATACACCACAAACAAAATTACAACATATGGAATGAACTGCAAATAAATACACCACAAACAAAATTACAACATATGGAATGAACTGCAAATAAATACACCACAAACAAAATTACAACATATGGAATGAACTGCAAATAAATACACCACAAACAAAATTACAACATATGGAATGAACTGCAAATAAATACACCACAAACAAAATTACAACATATGGAATGAACTGCAAATAAATACACCACAAACAAAATTACAACATATGGAATGAACTGCAAATAAATACACCACAAACAAAATTACAACATATGGAATGAACTGCAAATAAATACACCACAAACAAAATTACAACATATGGAATGAACTGCAAATAAATACACCACAAACAAAAAATGTATAATCAAAATATTAACACTTAAGAGTGTTGCAAGCCAATACCCACCTTCCTCAGTGCAAGATGATATGAAAAGAAATTGAATGTGCAGAGCGCTCTCTATAAAGCTCTATATCTATGGTCAGAGTGGCGTAGTCTTTAACCACAGAAAGTTAAAATGCACACTCATATCAGAGTTGATGTTTTGTAAATATGTGTGTGAAGTTTTACTTCTATGAGAGGTGTCGTTTGTGAGCATGTGTGTATACACTTTGGTGACAATCATATAAGAAACAAGGCAAAGTATTGCAAGGCATAATCCATAGTCCTCCATCGGTAATGATTTCTATATTTAACAAACAGTATACTTATGTCAGGATGTACCTATAGCTACTGTTGGGAAAGTATCCTGATACATACTTCTTGCAAAAAGTCATCCCAATATGTCCTTGAACACCAAATCTGGTTACTCCAGGTGAAATAGTATAAAAGATATATCCTGGACATACAATTTCAAAAGTAAAGGTCAAAGGTCAAGTCATAGGTCACAGCGACGTTCTTTTAGCACTCTGCACTCGCCCATCCCAAGATGTCCTTCTATACCAAATCTGGTTACTTCAGGTGAAATCGAACAGGAGATATGTCCTGGACAAACCATTTCAAAAGTAAAGATCAAAGGTCAAGTCATAGGTCACAGTGACCTAATTCTCGAGAACCGATGTGGGACTAGTATAGTAAAGTCTGTCGAGCAGTGACGTTATTTGGGATATGTAGGTACGAACTTACATACAGACAAACATGTGGGCGGATCCCTATATTCTAATCATATATATTCCAATTATACCCTTACGACGAATCGTCGAGTGCATAAATAGAATAAATTTGAGTAGAATATATAAGTAATACTTTCAAATATCTCCTTTTTTTTCAATTCTCGCTTCTCAGTCAGTGTAGATTGAATACTAATTTTGAGGTTTAAGAAAAATATTAGTGTGCATGTTATAGACACACTAGTACTATCAGAGTACATGTATACTGTTGAAAGGGAAGTTTCTGTTATGTGGAAATGTCCTTGTTTTTCTAGTTGAATAACTAAGTGTCAAAATATCCACATGCTAATATTTATTTATTGATTATAACAAGAGGCCCAATGAGCCTGCATCTCTCACCTGGTATTAATCTCACACTTGTAACCTTAAAAGTGGAATCAAATAAAGCTGCAAGCAAAATATCAGTATTTATGACTATAAATCATTCAAAAGAACCTGTTGAAAAATTTAAACACATTTAACTATGAAATATGGTCAGATAAAAAGTAGAAAATTCATAATGAGCATGCATGATATATGGTCAATGTGCTCTCAAACTGGCGTCTATATCAAGTTACTCACTCGCATAATGTACTGTGCCACATATAGTGAAAGTATTAAAATGCAACAATCATGTGCAGAACAATGATGACAAGTTTGCCAACACATCGTGTCATACCAGTTAATACTCTTGAGGTAAACACATCACTATTTCGCTATTTATTGTCAATTTGAACCTCTTGCAATAATGGTACGGCCGACGGACATTCAGATGGGTCAGGCTATTGCATTGCAAATGAAAGGTCAAAGGCAACAACAGGTTGCTAGCTAGCTAGGCAGCTCGTTGTAAATACTTCCACCATAAAACCTCTTCGACTCTGTCGTCTGAGAGACACCAGAGGTTGCCGTCCGACTGCCATCAGGACGTCCATGCATAACAATGGGACGTCACAACAGAGCTGTTCTTCTCGCCAACCTGAGTAACCGCCATGTTACTGGCATGGAAACTGAAATAGTACCGTAGGAAATCATAATCGCCACATTCACCCAAAAACTTAAAGGAACAGATTGTGCGAGGGTTTGTCTGCTTCTCACTCATGCATATTGCACACGCTGTATGGCTCTAACTTTCCAGCATGGTAATGCCCAGCCTTATGAAGCCAGAGTTTGTCAAGACTTTCTTGTAAACCATAACATTAACCCACTTGACTGGTCACAGTACAGTCTAGATTTGTCCCCAATAAAACAGCTGTGGGAGGAACTGGACAGGAGGGTAACGGAGCAACGGAATCACCCTGCTACTACTGACCAACTAAGGACTGCCTTGTTGGAAGAGTGGAACAATATCCCCATGAAAAGGAGAGCATATGGGATACTGATGAGTCAGACAATTTCACTTTATGATATTGGGGGGGGGGGGGTACTGTCAAAAATGCATCAATTTCTCATGAGTTATCAATCAAAATCCAATGAAATTTTGGTAAATTTGGTTATTAAAGATGGTTTATTATGCCTATATAAAAATATTGTATATATCATTCAAGTACATAACATTAAATAACCTCAAATGTTCACCCTGGGAATCTCTATCCTAAATCACCTCATATGTTCACCCTGGGTATCTCTATCCTTTTAGTATATTAACGTCAATGGGATGTAATCAATTTATTGACCGAGTTGAATATACCAGGGTAGTCTGAAATAAATAACTACCTCAAACTGCTTGAAAGTTTTTTCAGCGAAGCCATTTAAGATAAAATTGAGGTTTGCAGGGAAAAAACCCTCTGTTTGTATATGTATGACATGCTAGGTGACACCAACGGTACGGAAGCAATTATTCCTTTAGCAAGTTTTGTCAGTTTATGTAAAAGATTAGATTTGAAGTACAGTTGTAGAAGCAAATCGCGGTTTTGGGTTTAAACTTTAAAAGCAAATTGAAAGTTTGATTTGGTAGAGCTGCTGTATATTGTAATGATCATTGTGTTATTTTACTCTTACAGGATTGGTTAACAACAGTTTCTGCCAAATCAAAGCTTGGTTTTAGATACAAACCAAACCACACTCTTTTAGTAAGAAAGGCAATAAACATGACGCCGCAAACTACAGACCTATCTCGCTAACTACAGTGTGTTCAATGGAACACATTATCACAGTGAGACAATTAGCATGGAGCACCTAGAGGACCAGCACATGTTATCACCATTACAGTACTGCATGATCACAGCATATCATCACCATTACAGTACTGCATGATCACAGCTTATCATCACCATTACAGTACTGCATGATCACAGCTTATCATCACCATTACAGTACTGCATGATCACAGCTTATCATCACCATTACAGTACTGCATGATCACAGCTTATCATCACCATTACAGTACTGCATGATCACAGCTTATCATCACCATTACAGTACTGCATGATCACAGCTTATCATCACCATTACAGTACTGCATGATCACAGCTTATCATCACCATTACAGTACTGCATGATCACAGCTTATCATCACCATTACAGTACTGCATGATCACAGCTTATCATCACCATTACAGTACTGCATGATCACTGAGCTTATCCTCACCACATAGGACCTCATGTAGAATTTTGACATGAAAATCCAAACGGACATCACTATATAACTGGACTTTAGTAAAGCTTTCCATACTGTCCCCCACACCAGACTCTTACATGTACATGAATTGGAACATTACAGAATCACAGGTGAAATTCATGGATAAAAACTTTCTTCACTAACGTGTGTACATGTACTCAACAAGTCGTCGTAGAAGGTGACAATTCTTCAACAGTCACTGTCAGGTTTAATTGGGGAATTCTGCAAGGGACTGTACTCTGTCCCCTTATGTTCCTCTGCTTCATATCATATAATCAACAACCTGCCGTCTTTGCAGATGACTGTCTGTCATAACAGACAGATCAGGACCCACTCAGACCAGATTGTACTCCAGCGTGACTTAGTTTTCTTTGCAACAACGCTCAAATCAGCAAAAAAATACAAAAAATATATATTAGGTCTGGGATTCATTCGACGAAACCACAGGGACATGAGAATTTGTTACAGCTCTATTTGGACCTAAACGTAATTTTACACGTTTGGGGGGTTTTGATCGATTTTCGGAAAAATGTGTATATGATCATTGGGGGTGGCATGTTTACCGAAAATCGATCTAAACCCAACAAACGTGTCAAATTATTCTAAACGCCTTAGTTTAGTTCCAATTATAGCTGTAACAAATTCTCAGGTCCCTGTGGACAGAACCTGTAATACTGCCCTGAGACTGAGTCTCTTTAAAAATCTGACTGTAGAACATTAGTGTACTCTAGATCTGCTCTAGAATAGTGACACGACTGAAGGATATCAATAAGTTGGTGGCTGTGCAACGTTGCGCTACCAGATTAACAAGTATGGATGAAAATCTAGTGTGAATGTCATGTTGGAGAAACGCAACCTCTGGCAGAAAGATGACATGAACATAAAATAATCATGATGCACAATGGAGTTTAGTATAATGTGCCAGATTTTAATTGTACATATTATAGGATTACAGTTGCTTCCTAGCTTCTAGCTAGAGGGAATTTCCATGTAGCTCAGTGGTAGAGCGCCCAACTGCGCTAGGAACCTGGAAATTGAGGTTTTGATACCCGGTAGAAGCGCACTATTCTCTTTCCTGTTATAAATGGTGTCTGTGGCCCTATAGGCCTCCCTGTGGTGACAAGCACACTATTCTCTTTCCTGTTACAATTATAATGGCTTGTTTCAAACCCCCTGAGAACTGTATCACCTGAAACAACAGTTGGACAACCCAAAAACACTCAAAGACATTTAAAATAATAAGGTCAAATTATGATAAATTCAAAACAGGTTTTTTTCAAGAACAAGTTTTAAAGGCCTGCAACAGTCTATTGGTCTTTTGTTTACAATACTTACTAAACCTTCCTCTTTCGCTTAATGATTTTCCCCCATCACTATCAACGAATAGCTTTGGTGTTATCGTGATATTAAAACTCTAAGGCGGATGATTTGGACTAAAAACAGACTAAAATATCTTACTAATGTAGCATAATTAACCCCTCTCTCAGTGCTATACTCAGAATTGAAGTCAACTCAGACACAGATAAAAATGTCTGGTGTCAGGACCAGAGGAAGCTCGGGCTAGGTTCTGATGTTAGCTATGACTCGATCTTATTTTATGAGTTTATCATCATCATGTGACAGAGTCATGTGATTTGATATTAAACAGTTACAATAGCCTGAATAGGACAATTATTCGATACTGACCTAACATTTAGGATGTGATGGAAGTGTTGCTTTTCTTGACGTCGCCAAACCAACAACAACAAAAGCGATCCCGTTAACAAATACTTCGAACGAATCGAAAAGATAAGAAGTCTACACAGATTAGTTAGACATGTAACGGCGAACTAACACCGATACGACAGTTGACGCTACTTACTTGGTCGATAACGTGTTGATTGAGCCTGTTATAACCATTAAAATGGCAATAAGAATAATTCGAACAGTCCAAGCCATAATTAAAAAACCTTGGAGAAGAAGGAAGTCCTGCTGCCGTCTATTGATCTTTTGTTTATATATACAGACTAAAACTTCCTCTTTCGCTTTAAGATTTTCTTCATCTCTATCAGCGAAAAGCTTCGGTATTATCTTGATATTAAAACTCTTCGACGACTTAGACAAACAGATGACAGAACCTGTGGATATGTTTTATATTTAAACCCATGCTAAGTATGGCTCGTTGGTCTAGGGGTATGATTCTCGCTTAGGGTGCGAGAGGTCCCGGGTTCGAATCCCGGACGAGCCCCACTTTTGTTTCTGCTTCATTTTTTTTAACAAAAGCTTGTTACAATGCTTAAAGGAGAAAGAAAATAGTAGTGTTACATATGTTTTTAGTTTTCATTTGTTTTGACAATCAGTTGATTAAAAAGGGGCTATGTTGTTCTGCAACTATATAATTTGGAGATACATGATCCAAAAAGGATTTAATTAGTGCCGTGTGTATGTTAAACAATAAACATTAACTCTGTAGAACATTTTTTACGACAAAACATGAATAAATATGAATAAAATACATAGAAAATTACAATAAAAAACAACATGCATATGTTAAATAAAAATATACATAAGGAGGCAGTACCCAAATCGGATCAGTACCCAAATCGGATCAGTACCCAAATCGGATCACTTTTTGCAAAAATACTTATAAATAAATATATGTGTCAACAAATCAGTTATAACAATGATGTAGTCTTAGAAAAGATAGCCATGCACCATTTTTTGTCTAAAGATTATTAGTTTTAAAGTTCAAATAACACAAGAAAACGTAATTCAAACTCAAATGTCAGTGTTTTGATCACGTTTAAAAAAAGTTGCGCGTGCGACGACTATGCATCCTGTTTTGGACTATAGGAATTCATTCACACTATAGAAATACTTTTTGGCATATAAATTCTAAAGGTCATCATAAAATGTTTATATGCTGACAAAAAAATATTCATTTGAAGCGTAAGATGCTAAAATTCAAGCCTTGATCCGACTTGTGTCCCGACATTCGCAAAAACCGGAGACGCTGATTGGTGACTTCAGAGCATTCTATAAATATTTCAAGTGAGTCCCGGGTGCTTGTTTGTAAGAACAGCCGTCGATATTTTTCCTTTGATACAACCATAAATGAATATAATTCCTCCTCAGACTTTTTCAATGATTTAATAAAATGATGGTTTGGTGATCAGATTTGGATACTCATTACTGTCACCTATATAACACAGCATGCACAACACATATAACACTAAAACAGTAAAAGGTTTGTCTAAGAATGGTGTGGCATACAGTGCATGCCACATTCAAGAGAAAGAAATTAAAAAGGGCCTTATAATAAAAATAAAAAAATTACCAGAATATATGTTTATGTAGCGGATACCACTGGTGCAGTCTATTTGTTTACAACAGAAAGATGAGCTCAGCAGATATACATCCATACAAAAGGGTTTTGGACGTAATCCAATACTCAAACTGAAAAAAAGTCTAAGCAGTGTGCTTGGGAAATCGTTATTAATGAAGTACTACCTGTATATAACACGGGAGAGAGATACCGGAATAGGTACACCTGTACGTTTTGTTAAAAAGAACTAAGTGATGACATAGTGATGCATTTCTCATTCGAATGCCTTCAACTATATTTAAGTCGAGATAAAATAATCGACGGTGTGATGAATTCCCGTGAAATGAAAACGTATGTAACATCCTGGAATCTAGATACATGTACAACTTTATAGAGCGACTTCCTGTCAGGAGATCATGTGTCGAACATATTTTCTCCTTCAACGTCAGTGAAAGATAATAGTTGAAACTATTCAAAAGATAGACTTATTTGATGCATTTAGGATTTATCGTTCCTACTATAAGCCATATGTACTGTGTAAATACTGTCAATACCATCAAAGAGTGACAACAGCACGTGTTATCTGTGCTCTCTACCTTTCTGTGCCATTAAGCTTTACTGATGCGCCATCCGTGAAAACACCAATGATCTTATCTCGGGATAAATGTCTGATTCTGTCTCACTTGTTTAACGGGTTAACAGTGCTACTTAATTTGTCTACGACCTATAAGGAGAGAACATAGATGTATAATTATATTCCAAACTTGTTTGCGTGATGGGGCAGTAGGTGTTTGGCATTCTGTATTGTCTGGTTAACAAGATACTAATTTCTTTGTATTTCTTCCGTTTATTCTATAGGTCCACGGGGCTCTGACAAGTTAACGTCCTTAAATGACCTTAGCTGTTAATGGCACGTTAAACAAAATAAAACCAAATTGACAGGTTAGCTTCTGGTATACTTTCAAACTTACCTAATCGTTCCCGTTCTAGATTTGCCACCATAACAAATAGGTGTCCATGGAATATATGGCAGTGGAGGATTTGATGGAGTTGAATCTTTAATCGTCGAATTTCCATAAAATGTCCACCGTTTATACAAAATTGAGTCCCCTTGGCCCAAGAATGCTATAGACCAAATTAGGATGAAATCACTTAATCCCTACGGTAGAAGAAGGATTTTAAAGGTTTTACCTATGTCACCTATTTGGTCCAACCCTATACCCTAGAGGGACCACATGTACAGCCAACAACATATTCCGGTTGCGGACGTCACCTGGCGCGAGCAGACGTTCTAAATCTATTTTGAGAAAATACGTTCCAGCTCGGGCAGGTGAGCTAATAATACATGTAACCACAGATGTAAATGTGTGAATAACATAACTGTCAAGTCATATGATGAAAGTTAACGTCATCTCAATTATGAATTCCCTATTTTGATGAAGAAACCTGTTGTGTTTGAATATTATATACAATGTTCTGATTTAGCTGTTTTGTGTTTCTGACGTCTCATTTGTAAGGACTTTCGACTTGAATATAACAAAACAAAGTCTTACATATTTATTTGTCATTTCAGACACGTAAGAATTTTTAAGTGTGTTCAGGGTTTGTCGTGTAAACAATTTTCTCATCGCGATCACGTGGATAAATTCGAGAGGTCACTATTTTCTTAATGCGGCGTCCACACAGTGCCGGTTATGGCTCCCGTTTGAGATCAGACAGCGCTACGACACGAAAAGCGAAAAAGTCGGATTACTATACTCAATGATCTGGAATGTCCTATCATTGGCTGAACGCAGTCGTATACGTTCGTAACAGAGTCCTACGGATCGGGAATGGTCCGGAGAGGTCGGGCAAGCACTCCCGACAGTTAGGTGCGTCCCGTAACATTCGGGAAACTCAGCCGATTTTGTCTAGTCGGATTACAATCGTGACAGATTTTGCTGTATCGGATCAAAATCGTAACAATATCCTGTGTTGTCTGGACGGTGTCTGGACAGTGTCCTGTGGAACGGGCATGATCTGGAGGAACTGTCATTGCCGTTTCTTGCCGATTGAGTCCAGATTGCGTCCAGATCTTGCCGAATGCGAACCGTCTTTGCCGAATCCGTCCCGGAACAGTTCCGTAATTAATACGAAATTCGGCAATAATACCCACGTCAGAGTCCCGACAATTACAGAACACGATACGACTGAGTCCAGACAATGCCGTTTGCAATGCGGTACAGCAGACTGTGATGTCGGCAATGTCCTCGTCATGCCTCTGCTGCATGTCCTGCGTTGATTCCTCATCTGCAATGGAGGACGCAGCGTCGTCTACAGTCTCAGCAGCAGCAGCAGTAATTTTTCCCTTAAGCTGAAAATACAGAAACAAACATGATAAGTAATTGAATTATTAAACACAATAAATCTGAAATTAATGAATTTTTATTACACATAAATAAATATACAACATTTGATATAGCGCCCCATCTACCTAACATAAGCCACTCTAAAGCGCTTTACAATACATAGATATACAATTTTATACAGTCAATACAATTAGCATATATATTAATAAAAACAATATTGAGGAATTCGCAGGAGCTGCCTTATCAGGTGCTAACTACTAGTCCTTTACCACCTGGCTAATATCTCCCTGTATGCCTGTGTGGTGTGTTGGAGTTGTATTGTGTTCTGTTTGTAGTGGGACCGTAATTCCAACGGTACCATTTATAGTGCCACCTCACTTGAATGCTACAGCACAGAAACCGCAACATCCACCCTAAACCATTTTAAACTCCACCTGGGTTGTTGGAGTTGTGTGGGCAGGAGAAAAACACTTTCTCTGATTATTCCATGCGTACGACAACTTCGGGGATCGAACCCCGGTCGCCTGCTTGGAAGACCGGAGTGTTAACCACTCGACCAATCCGCACATACATATGTATATGTAAAATTTTAAATATCAAATAGTATTTAAAATTTATCCAAGATGAAAATTTATCCAAACTTAAAATATTTTTACATTTTCAGCTTGGATAAACATTGAATAAATACATTCAGTTATTTGCATAATACTTACACTAACAGGCGTCTTCTTCATCACACGGTGGATGTATGGCTTGAGAAATTTAATGTTATCCAATATCCTCTTCTCACGGTCAGTCAGTTCGGCTCCTGATCCAGAGGATCGGGCAACCATACCACGTACGTACACTGTCGTACCAGGTCAACAAACATCTAACTGAAAATACAGAAAAGAAAACCAATCTCATTATACGAAATATATAAATGCTCATTAATCTCATAACTAAATCTCATTACCAAATCTCATAACTAAATTTCATAAGTTAATCTCATTACCAAATCTCATAACTAAATCTCATAACTAAATCTCGTAACTATCTACACATTTTAAATGCAATAACATCTCATCACTATCTGCACATTTTACATTTTACATCTATCTAACATGAAACAAAATATCAACACTAAATCTCATAATAACTAACTATCTCTGAAATGGAATTAACACAAAAAGCAAGCAATTTAAAATAAATTTCAGCTTACCTTCAAATCCTAAATAGTCGGCCTGTGCCTGCCAAGCTGTAGTTTTTCCTGATTTATCCTTATACTGCTTTGCTTTCATGTCGTAGATAAATCTATTCTCCTGGAGTCATTCTTTCATCTTGTCCTCATCCTCTTCAGAAAGGAAGCCACTTTTCCGAGGTTTCTTGGGCAGAGAAGCAGT